TCAGCCTCTGCACCTGGCTTGGGGAAGGGATCAGAACCCCAGCCACACATGGGCTCAGGCTGCAACCCCAAAACAGAATAGGCAGCCATCACATGCAGCAGTGCCTGGGGCCTGAAGGCAGCAGCTGCAGGGGATAAGGGCTCCTAACACCTGCCTGCAGCAGTCAGGCACATGGGGGTGAACAAGGGGCCATATTGGCTCATGCCAGCCCATAAACCCCTACAAAAGCACACCCCAATGCCAGGACAGGGGGAACACAAAGTCAGATGAGGGCTCTCATCATGCTTCCCCTCAGAGACAGGGGACCAGGAACCCAGAACCACACACATCTGAGCTCTCCAAACTGATGCCAGATGACCACACTTGAGAGAAACCAGGTACCCCTAGGGCCTAAGCTGGGGTTCATGACACCCCAGCCCCATAGTACTCCAGGGGCCTTCTTAGGACAGGCAGGCCCATGCAGACTAAGCAAACACAGGGCCATCCTGTGGGACTGAGATTGCCTGACAAAAGGTGACTGAAGCTCCTGTAGGGCCAGAAGAAGAGCCTAGGGCATGGTCATTTGAGTTGTTATTTGGTTTATTTGCTTCTTTATGCAGGCCAGGCCCGGGTGACCCTGAAACCTGCAGTAAACTTCAGTGATCACAGCCAAAACACTCCAACTTCAGACAACCAGGCTGCTTCCTTCTTTACCTGAGCTGCAAGGCAGTTGCTCAGGTTGGCCGAACATGTGTATCCAGCACCACTGGAACCTCAAGTGGAAAGGGGTGGGGTGGAGGGGAGGAGGAGACGCACAGAAGACCCTGACATTGACCCATGCTAACCTCAGCATACTCTCTCTAAACAGGTACTACCTCCTTATATCTCTTTTCAACTACACCAAGTTACGGCAGGTGAGATTAAGTGAGGGTAAGACACCTGCTAAGCATGCAGCATGCAGGCCCCATCCCAGTGCAGCTGCTCAGCCTGGGTCCCTCTACAGTCTCCCTTGTGATATAAATTTAGTCTCTGCATGCAGAGCTTCAACACTAAGAAGGTACTTGTGGCTCTGTGGGGAAACCTAACAGCACCTTTGATGACTGGAAGAATATACAGATTTAAGGAGGAGATGGGATATATTGACCTTACCATACTCAACTGCTGAACTTTCCAGTCTTTGAAGTACTCTTTTTGTCTTTTCAGTGCCCTCTCAATTTAAAGCTGAGAGTGGGAATGCATAATTGCTGTCATGCACAGTGATTTGCTATACAGAGATTGGGGGGGGGTTAAATAATGGTTAACATTAGTGGTTCTGCAAGTTTGGCATGTTATTGAAGTTTTCTAATCAGTTCCAAAGCTCTTGGGTTAGTTTCTTTAAAAAAAAAGACCAAGGATCTCACATTATAAATGGGTTGAAGTGACCAAAAAAGAGAGAATTCAACTCTTGGCGGGAGAGGAATTGGCCTATTCTGATCTCTTTGTTGAAGGATACATTCCACTTGTTTGTTTTTTAAGAAATGGAATAAAGTGTAGACATAATGGGCACAGACAGAAGTGACAATTGTTGCTTGATCTTGCCACAGAAAGCAGCCTATAGTCGTGACCAAACACAGGTGCATGGCTGCAGACAGCTTAAAAATGGCCAATGGGGTGAAAATCTGAACCCGTATGGGTCATATGGAGATGTTTCAAAACACAGTGCCTCCTGTAACTTCTGTCTGTAATGTCTCCCAGCCTCAAGCTGCTTTTCAGATGGGAAGGGGAGGAAGGGAGCAGGGATTTCAGTCTGAGGTTTTTTCAGCCCCCACTGGAGGGTAGGGAGGGTATATTGGAGCACCCCCAAGGTGAGGGCAGGGAGGGCTCCAATCACCCACTCCACTCTCCAGCTCCAGCTGGGGAGCCCCTAGAATGAGCTCCCTCTCCTTCCTTTCCCCACTCCCATTCTGAAACAGGAACAAGCTGGAAGACAGGAGGGGCCATTGCTAGGAGAAACCAGCTGCAGGCTCCAAGCCAACGGCTAGATTCCCCTTGTCCCTGGAACCAACAGTGAACTTCTGTTTGGTCTGAGGGATTGTTGTAACTCCGAACACTTCCTGCAAAGCCTTGTCAGTTACCTGGGGAACTACGCTTCTGTCTGCACTTATTGGGTAGCTAACTAGCCTATGCTTGCAAACCAAAGTCAATCAACTGAAGATCTCACATGGATGGAAACCAAAGATGTACAACATAGTTTCAGAACATTAAATTAATTCATCAGGATCCTGGGAAACTTAACTCAGGAGAAGATAAAAAAGTAATTCCCTCTTTTGGGAGATAATTTTAAATAATGCAGCTAAATACATTTGGTTTTGTTGGTTTTGTTATTTACATAAGTAGTATTTGAGGAGATCAAGTGTATACATTTCACTCATTGATTTAAACGTCTTTCCACAAAATTCTGTCTGGCTTTCTTGTGTGGGTTTCATTCTTTTATAATAGTGAACCTGCCTCACTTACCATTTTTCCCCTTACATTTTTAATCTATTTTGAATTTTCACCTCCATGTTTTGTATTGATTTTTTACTTCCCCTCTTGTGATACTAATCCTGATGTTTTACTATGATTTTTTCACTCTGCTGTTTTTATCATTCATAATAAATAACATTTGATATACAATGATCAAAAAAGAGATTTTTTCTTTTTTAAAATCTAAATGCATTTCTACTTAAATAAAGAAACCAAAGAATAATTGTACAGAAAGTAATGTTTGGCTGAATGCTTCATATTCACTGTTGTTAGTATCAGTTCATACTTTGCTTGGGAAATGCTAGAAGAAGGCAGTGTGGCACCTTATAGAGTAGCTGGTTCAGAGAGGTATGGGGTTTCCTAGGTCACAGCTTACTTCATCATATGTGAATAGCATCTGACAAAGTAGGCTGTAGCCTATGAAATCTCATGCTTCTCTGAATGAGTTACTGTATGAGGTGCCATGCTGCCTATCTTGAACTAGCACAGCTGAATGACTTTCTAAAAGTCTAGACTATAATAGAGCAAAATTCACAGAGTTAGATCCCATTTGTGCCATGGGACCTCCTGAGCAGACTCTTATACCTATGCAGACTCCAAATTAAAGATAAAGGGACTCTGTTCATGTACAAAAGTCTTTTTACATGAACTGAGGCACTGGGGCCTTAATCCAGGTGAACAAAAGAATTTATAGCTAAAACAAACATTTTTTCACTATGAATACAGGTTTCTTATTTAACATAATCATTATCATAATCTTTGGCAAACTCAAGACCATGCAATTTTACAGTTAATGATTGTCAGCTCCCTGTGACAAAAAAAAGGTTACGCAAACTGCATGCACTCAGTTGTTATCTGGTGATTTGAATGTTAAACTGATACCCATATTTAGCTGAGCTGTAATGTGCTCACTTTAGAACAGGGGTGTCAAATTCACCTACAGCCCCAGGCTGGTTCCAGACTGTGGGGCTCCTTGCAGCCCATATCTGGCCCACAAGGAGTTTCCCAGGCAGGATCAGACCAATGGAAGTTAATCACAAAAGCCATATCCAAACCCAGCAGTGGTAGCAGGGACAAGCGACAGCAGTGGCAAAGCAAGCAGCAGCGTCAGAGTTAATGCAGCTTTTGCTCACCTCCCACCCCACGACCACCATATTTGCCCACTAGGGGTATATCCCCATGAGTGCACATGTGTGGTTTGTAGTGCCTCAAAGCCATTTGAGGCCCCACAAACCACATGTGGTACACATGCACCCATGCACCACACTGCTAATTAGCAGCACGGCAGGGGGGGTGGTTTATACAAGGAGGTCCCCAGGACTATAGGTCAGATTGCTGCCTCCCGTACCGCACCTGGGTCCCTTTGCTGTGTGTCAGAATGCGCATGCAGGGGCATACCCAGAGACAAATAGCAGCAGCACAAATATGTGCCATTGCTATTTGTCCCATGGGAAATGCATGTCCCTGCACACATGTGTTCATGGAGACATGCCCTGGAGCTCCATCACTGGAAAGTCATGAGCATGCCAGCCCCCTGCTACTTCACCCCCAAATTCTATATGTTTGACATCTGTGCTTTAGGACATCTACTCTAAGACAGACAGTCAAAAAGCCTGAGGCTGAATTGATTCAATGTTCACAGGTTAGTCTAAACTGCATAGATTGAACTGATAAGCAAGTGAACAGACATTCAGTTTTGATTCTGGAAATGCAGACACATGCCTGCAGTGGCCCAAGCCAGAAGCCAGGGCACATCCCTGCTCAGCTCAAGCAGACAGCTTGGGCCAAAGCTAGCCCACCCACCCTGCAAGGGGGGGATTTGCAGGGCAATGCAAAGCATCCTGGGATGCTGGAAGACTGTGAGCTAACTTGAATCTGGTGGGGATCTGGGACAGAAGTTCAATAAACCAATTTAACTTAAATCAGTTAAGTCTAATACTACATCCATCCAGGTCTGTTTTAAACTGGTTTGGGCCATTTTGGAAGCAGTTTATGTGCACTGAATTTCTGTTGTGTTACAGATTTAAACAAGGTTCTGATCACTTATACTGGTTTATGTGCAATTTCTGTCCCTAGCCCTACATTCATGCATGTGTATGTATATTGCCGTAAGCGTGCACCAGAATAATTTGGGCATGCCAAACGAATCAGATATAGTAATTTTGCTACATGTGTTGCTCAGAACTAAATAATTAGCATCAGGATGACAATCCCTAGAGCAGATTTTATTTTAGAGCATGTTACTATGTCTGATACTAACACATCAAAGAAATATTTTTTGAAAAAGTTCTATCTTTTTACGTTCCCCCATTTTCGTTACTTATTTGGCAGAGTATTATCACTATTACTAATACATTCCAAAGTTATAGTGCAGTTAATCATGTGATTTGTTTGAAGCAAGTATGTGAGGCATTATGGATGAAAGTAAAACCACCTGATGATGTAACGCCAATATGTTACTTATTAACGGACGTAAAAAAAAAAAAAACCTCGCTTGAGCTGGATTCACACCAAGAATGCATTTTCTACTGAAGGGAAAGACTCAGCTTTCAGAAAGACACCTTGGAGATCAGCAGTGTTTTGAATTGGTTTAAATCTGCAGCTAACTCCATTAAAATGATGAGAAAAAGGCTTTATTGGGATGATTCTGTTTTTCATTCTGAAAGCCAGAGCAGCTTCCGAAAGTCAAGTGATGACCTTCCATTCAGCCCCACAGACAGCAATGGATCAGTGTTTATGAGGTAAATTCCTATTCTGATTCTGATTACATATTCTGAACCTAACGGATGCCTGGAGCGGAAGTAGCAGCAAGGGCAGGAGGGTCTGGTTTTCTGTATATGCCCTAATGAAGAACTTCAATTTGTAAAGGCAGACGGTACAGAAATGATGGTTACGATTACATTACTACATACACTTGGAATGAGAGCCATTAGTGGAATTTATGCAGAACCACTTTTATTCTCATAAAACTGTAGGTCCTTATGCTTGCAATCTGTAGACTAACGAGGAAAAATAATAATAATTAAGACATGACAATCTAAAACTGAAGATCTCAAAACTCTTTGTATTCAGTAAACTTCACTAGCAACTCAGGACAGTGAGCATGCTTTATTAGTGAAATTTTAGTGCCACATGAATTTAAAGTGTCCTAGAACAGGGAAGTAGATAAAATATTTTCTCACGCACTGTGGCCTGTGGGGAATTTTATACTGCTTATTAAGTTGTGTTTTAAGAGAAGTTTTACTATAACACCAAATGTCACGGTGTAATCTGAGATTTCATAAGAGCTCTCTAACAAAACATTCCCTGGAAAAGGCTAATCTCAGAGCCAAATCCAGCCTTCACAGCCAAAAACGTCTCCCATGCAGCACTACCATGTGGCTCCACTGAATTTAGTAACTGTGCCAATGTACCCTCCATGGAATAGCTCTGCTGCCACTTCTTAGCTTGCAGGAGAATTTTTCACCATGTGTTCCCCATGTATCTGCCCAGTGTGTACACACTGTGATTAATCACTGCAAATTCTTTAACAGGCCCTAAGTGAGTTAAATGTTGCAACTGTATAGAGAGAACTTCTGAATATTCCCTCTTATTTTACTAATCCTCAAAATGCTACAATAGTTGGAGACAACATTCATATGCTGTTTATGTCCCAAGAATAAATTAGTTTGGTAGCTTCAGCCTCCACTGCTGTGAAATATTATTCTTCTTTTCTTTAACTGTTACGCTCTCCCCAAGGACCCAGTTGAATGTAGGAGAGATCTTGCCTCCTAGTCTGAGCACAGGATTGGGAGCCAGAAATCCTAAATTCTAATTACATTTGTCAGTGGCTCCTTCCATTTTCTTGAACAAGTCAGTTAGGGCCTGGTTTTCAAAACACCCAAAAGTGCATTAATGTGCATGCTTTATACATACCTCACCTCTGTGCATACACCAGCCTAGAATGGGCATGTACACACAAATAGCCACAGGAGAGGCTCTAGCAGCAATATGCTCTGCCTTTTTTGGGTAGAGATTCACCCGTGCCATGTCACTCACTAACCACCTCTCTGGCCAAATAGCATGTGGCTTAAATAGCCCTGGTATATGTCCAATCCAGTCCAAACCTATTTAGGAGGAAGCTGATTACCATGAGCCTTCAGTAAAGACCTTCCTCCATCAACAGCAAATGCTAAAATAACATGAACTAACTAACCTGCAAAAAAACATGCAATCTATGAAGAAACATGTATAATTCCTGCCCTGGCCTGTCAGCTGGAACAAGCTCCTGAGAACCTGATGATGTGTTTTTAAGTTAGGGTACATGCACCTAAAAGGATGCATCCTCCAGGCAGTTACATAAGAAAAGAAGGGCATACAGGCTTTTTAAAATTGAATGCTGCTCCTATTTATTAAGGGAATATTCTCTATATGTGACGATGCATAGAGACAGAAAAATTACTCTGTTATGATTGTTCTCAGTCATCTGAATTATTTGTTCTTACAGTCAAAAAGCAATGTTTTTAAACCCAAAAGCTTGCCAAAAAATTTTTTTCCAACTATTTAAGTTGGTCTAAAAAGATATCAGATTCACCCAAAGAACCTTGTCTGACTATACACTAAGGCTTTCATACACCTCTGCTTTTCTCTTGCTGTAAGTGGCACTCTCCAGATGAGCATAACTATGCAGGAATCCAGGGGGTTATTAACATTTCAGACAGGGGAGATCATCATTTATCACCACAGCAGCAGGTTGCTTCTGACACAGAACAGACTTGATTTCAACAACAGACTCAGACTGTGGTGTGAGTGCTAAGGCATCAGTTTGTAAGACAGCAAACATAGCACTGTACATGGGTCAGGTGCAGGGGTCTGCATCTCATAATGATGTGGGCCCCTCGTGTCTAAAGTACTTTATCAGGATGTAGCTGTCCAGACTGCAAAGAGAACCACTTGCCAGTGTCACAAACCAAAAAAACGGTTACAGGGACATGAACCTTGCAGCTGCCCTTTATCTCTATTATGAGGCTGAATCAAAACTTTGCATTCAAACAGTCACCAAACTTTAGAAGAATCTCCAACCAGTCTCAAACTCTGTGGTTAAGTCAAATCTTTGGAGTGAACTTTAGTCTAATATATTGCATATATGTGAACAAGATTTTTAAGATCTTTAGGATGAGGTCCTTGCCTGCTTGACCAGCTGTTGAATTCTGGGGGTGCGCCTCCACAAGTGTGTGTGTGCAGTTTGCAGCATTGCAAACCTCATGCAGTGCACATGGACACATGGGGGTGGAGAGGGGTGACATCAGGAGATTCCAGTGTAAAACAAAAAAAAACAATGAAAAAAAAGTGGCGCAGCACACAGGGCAGCAGCGCATGCCACCAGAAAGGGAGCCTGGCGAGATACAGCCACACTCTGGTTGCCATCCAAGCTCCAAATGCCCAGATTGCCACCACTACTGTCCCAGGAGGCCCCCAAGATGCCAGGTAGGCTGCTGGGACCAGTTAAAGTGCTGGCCCCAATTCCCTCACCCTACCCAGGGCAACTTGTTGCATGCCAAACACATATTCAGGTTCGTTCCCAGGGGACAAGTAGCAGCACATATTTGTGCTGCTGCTAGTTGTCCCTGTAAAATGTATGTGCACGCTTGTGGGGATGTGCCCTATAAACGTAATCCTGTCGAATAACAAAATGATAATGGAGGAAAATAAAAATCAGAGAACACCGGGTACTTGTAAAGGGAAATAAAGCATGAATGTTGGCCAATGACAATTGAAACTAACTGACACAGAGGGCTCCGGTGTGGGCAGTGGTGTTTTCTAAATGAATGCTCATGGGAATTAATGTCAAAAGGTCCTTGGCTCTAAATCTGCCTATACCACTGATGTGATGTGTGGCCTTGAGTAAATCAATTAAATTCTCTGCTTGGATTCCCCCATCTGTGATATGCCATTAATAATACTTACCCATGTATTATACAGGAAGCCTTGTGAGGATTGGTTATTTAATCACTGCAGAGCAGTCTGAATATGAAAAGTGCTGTATAAATGTTAAATAATTTAATTAAAGCATTGTATAGATATTAAGAATTTTTAAAGATCCATATATTTAGAATCTTCTTACTGAAGTTCTTGTATTTGTTCAGAAGTTGAACATTCATTCAATACAAAGTTCTCATTTTGCAAATAGTATCCCTCAAAAAACAAACCAAGGCACTGCTGTGACTTGAGGATTATCATTCAAACAGCATGAAGAAGTTGCAGGTTGGTGAGAAATGCCCAACCATTCATCTTAAAGGAATGTTATGTATGCAGCTCCACTAGGACCACTTAAAACATTGTTAACTGTTTCAGTGCTAAAGTGATCCAGAAGAAGTATTTATCTGATGTGGCCTGTTACATCTGGACCAAGTTTCTTATAAGTTTCAGTACAAGTAAAAACATATATGGAAACAATTCTGCCCCATGTGAAACAATTAGACTATACTGCTCAGGAAAGCAGGGTATTATTCACTTTGGCCTAAAAACAACAGAGGTAGTAGCTTTCGTTTTGTTTTCTCTTTACTTTTATTCTGAGATATTCTGTAGATTCTGAGAATCTCATGACCACTACAACTTAAATATCTGGAAAAGTCTGGCCACTACTTTTCTGGTAGGAGATTGACTTTATCTTCATAGAAGATGGACTAGCTTTGGTTCTCTGCTTCTATACCAAAAAATGCTGCTGGTTTTCAAAGACTTCCACCTTACCCTAAAGCTTCCTTGGGAGAAAGTGGACATGTGTCATGAAAACTGACTAGGAGCATATATTGGGCTTGGTAAAGTATGCATGTCTACCTTTTTTTGAGCCTTGTTAAAATATAAATGTATACTTAGCTAGACACATTTTTTGCTAGTACATGGCTGGGAAGTTCTGTTCCTGTGGACCGTACACACTGTTTGTGAGTATCTATAAACAGAGCATGCAGGATCTCTCTAGAGTTATTATGATGTAACAATAAGAATATAAAAACTGTTGTACTGCTTCAGACCAAAGGTTCACCTGACTCAATATCCTATCTCAGGTGGGGATAAACAGTGGATACTTTAGAGGGACAATATAAGAATTGTGCATGTATAAAGTGATCCATCCCCTCCCAGTGAATAGCAATCAGAGCTTTATGGGACATCCTCAGCCTGAAGTTGGGTCCCTGCACCTTGTGTGTAACAACCAAGAATTATATGTGTTTGGCTCATCATGCACAGCTGACCCATAAATAACTAGAAGAGATTCCTGGGTGGAATTGGATGTAACTGCCATAGGAGCTGGTATTTTTGTCATAACAACAGGATGTAGGCATCGTGGCCCTCTCACTATGGTGTCTTTTCAATGTCAGAGCAATCTGTGGTTTGGAAGATATGCTATAACTGACGTTTTTTCTTGTTTGTAAGATGGGAACAGACTGTGGAATGCTTCTTTCTGTTGTTGCCAATTGGATAAGTGCCATCTGGTGCCGCTGCAGTACTGAACTGTGGAATGTCACATTGCTGTATTAATCAGCATATGAGGAAGTCTCTAAGAGCAAATTGGTGAAATGAAAATCCCCCTGTTCCATTCATTCCACTACATTGCATGGTACTACCGGCCTTCCTTACTAAATTGTCTTTTCACTCAGAAGTGCACAATGTCTCTCTTGTGGCTCCACATGGAAAGTTATTTGAAGGTCACTGGTATTAAAATGGCACTCAGCCTGATGCTGAAGTAGATCAACAATGTGTTATA